GGTTACGCTGAGATTTTAATCAGGCTGCCAGAAGAGGGGTAGTCAAACAACATTCCCATTGCTCAACCTGCTTCCCATTTCCTCGTACTGCATGAAAACATACAGTCAAGGCAAAGAATATGCTCGAACAACTGCTGTATGCTGTGATACAAAAAAAAGGTCCTAAATCTAAGTTGTCCATGAGTGTTTGCCTGAAGGGCTGTTGAGGACTGTTGAGCTGGACACAGCAAGTCATAACCTGAAAAAAAAATGAATCATAGTGGAAAGACTTTGTGTGAGCGTGTTAGATTCACAAGAGGAGCAAGGATACGGGCAAAATATTCCAGCACCACTCACCAGGCAACTATGGGGAACATAGGATGAGTCACAGTGAGCTGAGCTGGCTTATTTAGACAATGTGTTTGTGTGTAAAACTGGATTATTCCGGTTGGATTTTTGGGAAGAGGGTTCACTCAGTTCTGTTTGTCTTCTGACCAACGACACTTTAGTGATTCACTTTAGTGCAAACTCAGGTTTCCCTCTCATAAACAAACAGACTCTCACACACACACACACACACACACACACACACACACACACACACACACACACACACACACACACACACACACACACACACACCCACAAGGTGTCAAAGCAAAATGGGAACTGTAGAACTGAATTATTGTAATTACCTCCAATCAGATAAGCTACAAAAACAGGCATTGTACATTATCCCAAGTCTCACACATGGTACACCCCTATTTAAATACAAGCACACCACAAACTACACAGTCATTACGTATTCCACTGATGATGCTTGAATGGAAAAAGGAATTACATACCATTCTTAAATACCTTGGAGAACTACTTTCGGCAGCAGTGACGTCATTTTCTGTATGACCTTATCATTCTCTCACATTGTTTGGAAGGAATCTTGGCCATCTTTTTTTACATAACATTGCTTCATTGCTTGCATGACCCAGTTTTGGCCTAGTTACAGCTGGGAGGACATACAAACCGCTGCTGTTGTGTTTGGGATCAATTTCCCTTTGAGGACAACATTCGGGTTAAACTTCAGGTGCCCGACAGGCGATCTCATAATACTTTGATGCGCAAAGGGTTAAAGGTCGACTCAATGATGGCAGGTTTAATACGTTCTGTTGGTGCAAACCAAGCCCAAATCATCAAATCAGCCCATGTGGCACTGCTCATTATTGATCAAATGTTTCTGCTTTGGTCATTTCTAACTCATACAGCCATGATCTATTGTAGCAAGGGCAGGTTGGCAATCCCTTCGAACTAACCATAGCTGAACTACCATGAAACTTACCTTTAATATGCTAACTAAAGCCTGTATTTGCAGCATCCAGTAAATTACCTCAGTTTAGCACCCAGGCATCTCTGGGTAGTGTCTGCAAGGTTTGAATTTCCACTTTGTTGACCTAGGAAGATTTGTATCTACATAGACATCTTATGATTGACATCACTGCAATGAACAGAATGGGGCCTGCAAGGGGAATCAGCGGGCAGCATGGTTGCCTTGCTGCAAGATGGTTCTGTGTTCGATGCCCAGCCCAGGTAACCTGACAACAGCCAGATGCATGTCTCGCTCCGCCTAGCTCCACTCACATACATCTGGGAACCCGCTCATTGAAAGTGATTTCCCCAACCGAATTTATGGTCTGTCCAATCAGGACGCAGGGCGGGTGTGTCCTGGAGTAGAGAAGCGACCGTGAGATTCCAACAACAATGGCGGCTCGCATTGAGGAAGCAAGCGTCAGCATTGATGCTGCTATTTCTTCTGTGTTATCCAATCTATCTGCTATTGTTTCATTAAAAGAACATCAGAGAACGGCTTTGAAGGCTTTTGTTGGTGGAAACGATGTTTTCGCCCTTCTCCCGACCGGATTTGGCAAGAGCTTGATCTACCAAATGGCTCCTCCTCTCACAGCGTCACGGGTTAGCTTCGGTGTGAGTGGTTGAAATAGCACGTCAATAAAGATGACAGACAAGTGGCTTATCCAATCATATGCAAGGAGTTTTGATAAGGCCCAGCCTTCAGTAAAGGCAATTCCTATGGCGGGTTCCCAGATGTATGTGAGTGGAGCTAGGCGGAGCGAGACATGCATCTGGCTGTTGTCAGGTTACAGCCCAGGGTCTTTCTGCATGTAAAGTTTGCATGTTCTCCCTGTGCATGTGTGGATTCTCTCTTGGTACTCCGCCTTCATCCCACAGTCCAAAAAAACATGACTGTTAGGTTAATTAGTTTCTCAAAATTGTCCTTAGGTATGAGGATGTGTGCGCATTGTTGTGTGTCTTTGTGTCTGTGTTGCCCTACGACAGACAGACAACCTGTCAAGAGTGTACCTCTAGCCCATAGACTGCCAGAGACAGGCACCGGCCCATGAGAGGACTAAGCGGGAGAAGATGCATGCATCAACAGATTGATTAAAGGTTAAGACCTGCTTAATCCGCATGTTTTCATCCCCACCCCCAAAAAAAGCCTTATATATCTGTGGACCACCAATGTCCAGGTTTTAGTTTTGAGGCTATCAGCTGATACCAAAAGTATGCGTATGATGTTGTGCATATCTAATAATAAATTAGGTTTTGTTAAAAGACAATGAAATATTTGTGGATTTGAAAGAAGGTTACAGACTCATGCTTTAGAACTTTGGACTTTAGTTTCTTTAAAAATAGTTTCAAGACCCTCTGGCGGCAGCAGTTCCTTTACTTATTGCTGATGTCTTTTCAAATTGCAAATACTTTACTACTCAGCTGTCAAACAGATGGCTTCATCTTTACCTGCAGTAAAGATCTAATGGTTTATTGACTCCAAGATTTCCTGGCCTTGCAGATGCAAAACAGCAAATTCATCATCCCTCCACCACCATGCTTGACAGATAGAATAAGCTGTTTTTGCTTCTCTTTAAATTTTAATTGCATAAATATGCATTGAGCCAGTAACAGGAGCTAAAACTGATGTTAAAAAAGTACAGCTTTATGAATTCATATATTACCACACATCTGTATCCTCCATAAAAACAACCTGCTAATAATGTTATGTTCACATTTGCTGACCAACAGCTCTACAGCTCATTTTACTGTGGATGATGGCCGCCACTCTTCCTCTTCTCAATCAGTTACAAAATCAGGCAAAAGTAAATTTTATATATTTACTAAAATAGAAAATAAAAAGTTAACTTAAATGTAGACTCATTTAACCATTTAAAGCCTGGACTGGTGAAAAAATTGACAGAAAATTATATATTTTTTTAATCAGAACTGTCAATTAACTTTCTGACAAATGAAATAAAAAAAACTAGAGCATTTATTTGCATCAATTTTGATACAGTATTTATTTCTGTATAATATTTTACACATTATCTCTTTGCTGAATGTGTCTGATTGTGTATCACACTTATGATGCAGAAGTCTCAAAAACTCATTTATCAGATATGATACACTTGGCTTTAAAGGGTTAACACTATTAGTAAAATCTGAAACGCATTTATTTTTTGATCATTTAAATAATTATGCTTGATCACGAGCAACAAGAGGGTTGCGATGACTATCCATTTAAAGATGAGTTGGGGAGCTATGTCACCTTTTTACACATTGGTCCAACGTGTTTTATAAAGTCCAAACCTAGAGAAGACATGTAGCAGCTTTAAAAGGGATATTAATTTCGCTTTACACCTTGACTTGGATCCTTCCCACACCACCAAATGTTTAATTACCTGCTTTAATGACCTTGGCATCACTGTGCTTGTTGAGCTCAAAGAGGAGGATGATGATGATGATGAGACATTGGATTCACCGATGCCGACGTGGCGAAGGCCAAAGTTAAAGCATCTTTTATTTAAGGTATAATTTCCAACAGTTTCACTTGTATATTAAAAATGCATACATCTCTAACAATGCAAAAATCTAAATCAACAAATAATGAACTTTTGGAATGAGTATGTGTGCAATGAAGCAACATGATAAGAATTTTAAATATATTTCTATATTTAAGTATTGAAATGGTCCTTTTCTAATTAACTGAGCTGCAGTTTAACTCCGTTATTTTCACACCTTTCTTATTTTGGCTCTTGATTTGATAAACGATAACGTTAGTAACGGTGTTATCTAATATGCTTGAGGGCAGATTTTCTTTTTTTAACCTTTCTATGAGGTCCTGAAGCAAAAAAAAAAACTTCTTTTAAAAAATTGTTTATTGTTTGATTTTCCTCTTCACGCCAGCAAAGCATTCAAACCCTGTGTTATGCAGCTGGTTCTAAATTTAACCTTTTTGTTTTTGCATGAATTTCCTTGAAGAAATAAACAATTTTCTCATCAAAGCTCCGTCATTTATTGCACAGAACCCCCCCCCCCTTACGCAGAGACAAGTCATTCACTCCTTCTCGTACATGCACACTAACACCAGACGAGCCGTAAAAACTCAACTCAATTAAAGTGCCTCTTTCCTGGAAGCCGGCTCCAGACGGAGCACAAGGTATGCAGGGAATGGGAACCGTGTGTGTGTGTGTGTGGTGGAGGTGGGGAGTTGAGAAATGAAGAAACTCACCCCCTGCTTAATTTTAACAACAGCAATCAGAGTTAACACACACAGATTCAAACCCTGGTTTGAGACTGAAACCGCAGGACGTCGTAAATCACCCCCACGTGGATGCTCTCACCTTTCTGACCTCACACACTTTCCAGAGGACACCATCCTCTCCCTCTCTCTCCCTCGCAGCCCCCCCGAAGTAGGATGTATAAAATCCAGCTGCATTCCTTTTCCAGTCAAGTCCAGCCCAAAGCCAGCTTTCTGTGCTCCAAATGCTGTGTCAAAGGTTTACCCCACTCTGTGCTTCTGAGAATCCCTTTGTCACAGCATGGCAGACAGATCAGCAGCAGCTTTTTTTTTTTTTTTTTTAAACTTCTTTCATGCCAATGTAATTTAACACAATGCTCCAAAAAAAAAAAAAAAAAAAAAAAAATATGAGAAGTGAGGATTGCTGTAATTTTAAGCCCTCAAACGTGCAGCCGCCCTTCTCCGGCTCTCACAGCCCTCTCTGGCTATATAAACACGTCTTCCTCCAGCTAGGAAATCCCATCTGACAGTAAATAATCTTGTTGTGAAGCCGGGAATTGCTGGAATACAGACTACTTTACAATATATTACAGTAAGTTAAAGCGTATCCAGTCAATATTGACTCAGGGGGGAGAAAAGGAGAAGCAGCGCAGGAGGCAAGCAGTGAGAAAGTAACACACAGGGCACATTGAAATGGCTTTTGTAAAAATAGTGCTCTTTAATATAAATTATTGAAATATTTTAGAAATATAAATATGTGCAACGTTCCTTTTTCATTTATTATGTAATGCTCTTGACATTGCAGATATTACAGCTCGTATTTTGCCAGACTAGTGGCCAGCCTTTTGCAAGAGAGTCTTTATAAAAGACAAATGATTCACATACACGCCGACTCCTGCTGCAGCACATATGTAAGAACTTTGTGTTTGATGCAAAACTGTAAAACCCAGATCTGACCAATAGAAAAAAAAAAAAAAAAAAGACATGTGCATCGCTGTGGCTACATAAACTCACTGTTTCATGGTGTAAAGAAAAAAAAAGGCTACTACTTCAATATGGATCACAGGTGAGCATGAGCATTAGGAAAACAGAAAAAAAAGGTACAAATATCGGTCAAATCTGAGTCTTATTATTAGTTTTACAAAAGGCATTTTTTCCAAGAATCTAAGGGTATTTTTTTCCCTTGATGTTCTCCAGAGGCAAAAAAAATCTTATAAAAGGTCCAAATAACAAGTTTCCTCTTAACTCCTTCAAATTGGCGCAGAAAGAGAAGAGAGAGAGAAATTAGGCAGACAATCCAACATAAGGCTTAAAAGGAAACAAACATATAGGCATGTACTTTTCCATTCACTAATATTGTTTAAAATCTTAATTTTTATAAATTGAATCATTAGGAATGAACTTAAAGAAAAAAGATCTACTAATTATGCAGTTTTGAGATCGACTCCATTTAAACTGCTCTTAAGGTTAGATTTAGCCGAGTAATCATTTTATTTTAGAAGGGATGCACCGCCCAGGCTTCATACGAATATCCGATTTCTGTTCTGAGATGCTGATTCAGATTTTTAAAGGACTAAAAGAAGATAAACAAAAACAAATATGCAGCAGGTTGTTTGATAGAAGTGGAACAATTAAAGATATTACAGGTATCCCCTCCTGTGCATCAAGAGCTTTTCCCCCTCCCTTTAGCTTTATTATGCTTAATGACGCATCCCTTTATTTCCCCTTAGATCCAAAACTATGAGCTCTATAAACCAACCTGTAGCATTCTACATAGAAATACAAATAAATATTGATATAAAAGTTTTCTGTGTGTTACAGCCCTTATAGAACAGTAAGAAAATCAGAATAAGCCAGCCTGGTCAGTGCGTCTCCTTTCCAATTTTGTTAGATTCTTGCTTTTTTATTTGAGACGTTAAGACTTAAGGGGAAAAAAATGAAGCTGAAGTTGCTGTGATAGAGGAAGCATTTTTTTTTAATCCAAATGAAAACAAAGCTTTTCAAGAGAAAATAGGTTGATTCTGACGTCCAGAAAACTTTTAGACACATCTCTAGTATATTAGACAAATATACCTTGGTATTCTTAGCCAAAGCTGCCAAATTAATTGAATCTGGCTTATAAACTGGACCTGTAGCTTTTAAAAGCTAGTTTTTAAAAAAAGTTGTACAGATAAGCAAGAATCATTAACCATCTATCTATATAAATCTATAATAATAAAATAATTGTATGTATTTTAAAATAATCATTATTACTAGTCTATATACTACTGCGTCATCTTTTCAAAGCAGTTATAATTTTGGGAGAAAAAGCAGTGTTTGTTAATTGTTGCGCCTCCTTTTTCTGTCGGCAACTTAAAAAAGTTTAACTAAATTCTTTCTGGTGCGTAAATGTATCAACAAACCGCATGTTAATAGAAATTTTATTTCATAATGTTCGGGGGATTGCAGCTACTTCCTCTATCATGAAACTTCAGGTGTGGATTTACAAAAATGTCCCATTTTTTAAAATATATAGTCTTAAAATAATTATATTAATATCAAATTTGGTAGGTCAGACCTCCAAAACAACAGTGATGGAAAGTAAAAGTTAGATTGTTGCATTTTTAGCTAAAACGCTCTAAAAGAGCTGATTTCAGACAAAGCCAAAGCTGTTAGATTTACACAACCTACATCCTGTCGGACGGCATCATCAATCTAATCAGTGTTTTTATCAAGCTGTATACCAGTATGTCTCCTCCTCTTTCAGTTTCCCCTTTTACTAATCCCATTTCCCGCTCCTCTCCCCTTCCATCATCCCACCCCTCTTCCTTCCACATCTCCAGGATGGTCACTGCCAATCTGCAGAGATCTTTACATCTTTGCATCCTGGATAAAAAAATCTATTTATTCCTGTTTTGTTTGGTACCTCGTCATAAAAAAAACAAAAAACTTTTTGTTAAGAACGAGCTTTTGTGTTGTCGACTGTAGTCTGTTTTCTGTTGCTTTCAGAGCACAAAGGCATCAAAAAAATAATTAAAAAAATGGAGGGAAGGGTAATGGAGGAAGAAAAGGAGACAAACAGGAGAAGATTCGCTTCGTAATTATTTTTTTTTAGCCCCACGCATATAAAACCTTCATGTGGGCCTGTACCTGCATGAGTGTGTGTGGAGCTAGCGTGCATGGCCAGCCCACTCCCCTCTATGTGGCAACATTTGCGGGAAATGGGAATGGAAATATGTGCACAGCCACAACGCACACACTCAGACAAACAAATACTGTACTCTCTCTTCCTCTCTCTCTCTCTCTCTCTTCATTTGGACTTTGCCTTTTCTCTGCAGCTCCCCCTTCATTCACTCCCTCCCTGTCTTGGGATCCAAAGAGTTGGAAAATGAAGACGCCGTTTCTTTAAGAGGATTTAAACCCACCAAAATCAGCTGCGGCGTGTCCCCGCCATTGTTTACAATCTTCTACGAGGCTCGGCTCTGCGTCTGAGTCAGTCATAGGAAACGTTGACCCTTGACCTCTGGTTTTATCTGCCCTCTACCCACCCGCACACACACATATTGGTGGTCAGGTTCTTCCCAGGCAGAATAGACGGAGTAACCGTTGATTACCCAATTCAGACTTCAGCCTTTGGGAGTTCAACAGCGATTTCATAAAAGTGAAAAAAGCGCTGAGAACGCTGACTCTGGTCACAACCGTCACGTTTGAGAATGTGAGGCCCAGTCTGATCATCTCTAAGACCCGGTCTGTGCTGTTCCCCGTCAGTCAGATAGGAGCGTCATATTTCTGCATGAAGTCTTTAAGCGTCTGAGGGAGCTGCTCAGTCCGCTCCAGCTCTCCCAGGCCCGCTTCGTTCAGCGTCCTCCGGCACATGTGCTGCAGGGAAGACAGGGAGCTCATGAGGGGCTTCTGCAGCTCCAGCGGGATTTTCTCCTCGCCGCTGTGAATCAGGTACACCTTGCGTTCCTTCTCCACTGTGCGTCCTCCGCTCGCCCCGTCCCTGCTCCGTCCCGTGTCAGACTTCCCCATGTAGTGTGTGATGAGTTTCAGCACGCAGTCAAACTGCGGTAGCTCCTCAGTGTTTTGGGGGTCCGGCTCCAGGTAGAAACCCCCAACCTCGCTGTGGATTCGCAGGTTCTTGGTTCCCCGAGTCGTCCGCACCGACAGGGTGAAGAAGTGGCGGTGGTCTGATGAGTCGCGGACAAGGAAAGTGCCGGGGTTTTCGGAGCGCAGCAGGTAGTTGGCCTCCCGACCCCCGATGGCCCCCCAGTAAAAGCCACTCTCCTGGAGTTTACGATGAGCTCTCATCACCTAAAACAGATGAAAAAAAACTAGGTTAGCTTTCAGATTTTAACTTCCTGTTCAGTTTTTAAATTCAATTCAGTGTCCGATTACAACTCAAGGCTTTATTTTAATCTTAAAGCAAATGTTTCTAGATTTAATTTGATAAAAAGAAGGATTTATGCAGGGAAACTAAAATGATTTAGATCTAAAAAAAAAAAACTTTTCTCTCTGACTGACCTGCTGGTAGTGTTCATGCGAGCTGAAGGGCTTGTAGTGAAGCAGGGTTAAGTCTGAACCCTGAATCCTGCTGCTCTCTGAATTGGTCGCACTGCTCATGGCGAGGGGCCTGGCTACCGCAGTGCCATGGCCCCCCGCCTCTGCCCGCTGGTCGAGGGGCAGGGGGCCCAGAGCAGGAGGTCCAGGGCGGACAGGTGGAGACGAGCGCGGAGCAGAGCGAGCTGAGATGGAGGAGGAAGGATGTGAGGTCTGTGGCGTCACAAGCCGGGTCCAGGGCCCCGGGGAGGAGGGGTCTGATGCATCCAGAGAGGGGCTGGGAGAGAGCACCTAGACACAGCTGGAGGAAAGATGGAGAAAAGATGGAGCAGGGTTTAGGAGCACCATCTATATATAGGCTGATGACAAGCAAACACAGAGCCACGCTGGAAACTCACACTCCTTCATGAGCTGTGACATAAACAAATGAGCACTCCGCCACACTGGAGCTCTCAGTTTACCCGACAGAAAATGCAGTTATGGCGGCTGTAACGAATGCACGAAGCTGGACAGGGTTATATTTAGTTTAAATGAATCCTCAGCGTACTGCAGCGTGTAGCCAGACGGCAACTGGATCCTGATTGCTTTCAATTGTCTTCGATCGGTGCACCGCAACAAGGGATTTCTGAATCGGGGTCACAGTGAAAGAGTCCGGCACACTTTTTTCTTTTCCTCCTCATCCCCCTTCCCCCCCATTGCTTCTTTCATTGAATAACTCTTTATCCCAGTTAGGAAGAGGAGGAGGGGGGGGCTTCATCCGGCTTCACTGACATGCAGTAATAATAATAATGGAGCCATTCTAGGTTGATTAGCTGTGCTCTTCTGCAGAGAGATGGTGAGGCTGTGCAGAAAGCAGCACCCGGGAGAAGTTAGTATCTGAATCGCAGCGACGCTTCATTAAAGGGCCATTTCGCTCTTTCTGGCCCCCATTCATACACTTCAACACAAAATCAAACCTAAACTAAATAATTCATCACTGAATAAATATATATTTTTTTCTAGAATAACAAGATTTGAAAACTTTTATACCCTTCTTTTTTTTTTTTTTGCAAAAGTTATTTTGTACAGGGCACCATATATGCGCCACTTGTTATACGCGTAACAATCAAGTAAGCTGAATTGTAAAAGGCAAAATATACAGGGCAATAAGCACTAGAAAAATACAACTATTGATTTTTTGTTTTTGTATCTGTTTTACAATCAACACCAAATATATGGTTTTGAAGAAATGCACCAATCCAGATCTTTTTAATATTCCATTTACTATGAGTTTATCTAACTATACTTTGATACAAAAGAGAAAAAATGTGTGCTTTAGGTGTTTTTTTATGAAAGAAAGAAACACAGATTCAAATCGGTGTTTATTACTTCAGTCTAAATTGTATTTAACAATTAAAAGCATCAGCTTAGTTGCTCTTTGTTGAACTGGAAAAGTTTTCACAATTCATTCATGCATAATGAAAATAAAGCGACTGACTTTAACATTTAGAGTCAATCAAGGGAAAAACTGAATTTGATCTCTAGCTGCTGAATAAGTGATCAGGCTTTGCAGGCTGATTAAAAAGTTTTACTAATTGCAATTTTGACTAATTTGAATGTTTCTGAGTTTTATACTATATCTAATCATACCCAGAGCATAATTATTTTAGCACCTATGTAATAGAAACCTATTTTTGTACTACAGTACAGGCAGGATTTGAGTTTTGCTGTACAACCTTAAAGTGGCGCCACCGTGTGGAGGTTTGATTTGCTCATATGGTGTTACCCTACACTTTCTACATTAAACATCAGTATATCTTTTCTAAAAGAGAGTATTTGACATTTTAAATGACTTTTTTTTTGGTGTTGTAGCTACTGAGCAAATACCTGAAAAGCTTAATGACAGTCCAGTTATTAGGGGCCCTCATTTGGCCCTTATCTTGAGGAGCCCAGGTGAAACTTTAGACACATATGATGCAAATTTACACATAATCTGCTGCTTTTGTACTCAAACAGCACCAAAATCGCCCCTATTCTGAGTTTTGCAAACTGTTATTTATGATGGAGTGTGTAACAGTTGTGAAAATGTGAAACTTAAAGCGGTTTAAAGCAGTTCAGCTTATTTAAAAATGCCGAAATATCCCTTTAATAGAAAGACCATATCGGAAGCGAACTTCAGCGTCATATCGCTTAGACAAAACACGATTAAACAAGCTTATATTTAATCCGTCAGCGGCTGTAAAGTCTACATGACAACATCTGTCCTCAAACATGCCCTGCGGCTCTCTATTCCCGGACAGTCCCCCACATCCAGACATCATCTTCTAACTTACCTTGCGGATCTGCTGAAGTCCGCACCGCGGCCGCTTGTCGCCGAAGGAAAAGACCCGCAAACTACCCGAAAGTAGTGCCAGCTGAATTATTAATTTAGGCATTAAAATCCACAAAAAAAGAAATGCCCCCCACCCCCCCAAAAAAAATAAAAACAAAAAAAAAAAAGTGCGGGGTTTGGATGTGAGAGCGGAGGAATGCGGCCGGAGAGATTCCGTGTGAGTGAGAGTGTGTGAGGGGGAAGGTTACCGGAGGTTGTCCTGCGAGTAAAAAGCCGATGTTTAGGAAGGCTCCGCCCCCCTCCGTTCAGAGCTTCTTCCAGTAAACCAACGCACGCGCACGCGCGCGGAGGAGCTCGCTCCCGCCGCGCACGCAGAAGAACAAGCGGCTGGGCGCGCGCACCGGGCAGATTGCCAATAAATAATCAGCGTGACCTTTGGCGCTGAATTTCCTGGTACTGGGTTCCCTTCTCGACAAGGTGAAAAAGTTAAAAGCTTCACATATGGCACAATAAAACTAAATCACGCTCCCCTGCCAATTAAAAAACATAACCAACAGGAGATGTGGTTGAAATATTATATCATGTTATCAGTATATGTAAAACTGCATATTAAAAAAAATATAGAAAACATTTTTTTTAATAAAAGACTGATCCCTTTAGATAAGATTTGTCAAACCGACTTATTTATTTACATAGGTAATAAAAAAAAGCTTATTTTAGCTTTAAGCGCTTAACATCCACCTCATTTTGGGCAATCCTTGCCTATTTTGCATATCTAAATGGAAAAGCAAATAACTTAGGAACTGTATGCCCAAATTACATGTGCAATACATTATTTGAAAGCTAACACCCTCTAGTTTCCTAATATATAAATTAAAATTGGGTTGCTAGAACATAAACCAAGCTGCATTAGTTCAAACATGACTCAAAGTTGTTGTTTTTTATTCTCGGAAATGATAGGTCTTTTTTGAACAGCAGTAATAAAGATATTCTTGAGAAAAGGCAGGTTTTATTGTGTTATATTTGTTCTACATCATGTCAACCACACAAGCAGAAAGTTTCAGACCTCTAGCTATAACAGTTCCGGAGCTGCGGGCTATGGAACTTTTGGTGTCATCTTGGAGCTGCGCGTAACGGCTCCACCTGCTGGTAAAAATTTTACCGGTGGAACTTTATGCATCCTGAATTATTACCCCCACTTAAAACCCACAGGGTCGAAGAGGTTAATCTTGCAAATTAGACTCTTTCTACCTTAAACATAATGGTGTAACTATCGGTAAGCAGAGACTGCAGTTTCTTAGCAGCCCCCGACCTCTTAGGGGCCCAGTCACTGACGTCTTTTTGCAGATGTAATGGTGTGAAAAATTCCTCTTTAACCCACCTGATGCTAGGTAGAGTGACTGAACCTTTTTTATACCCCAACACATGGCAGATTTCACCAGGATGGTGAGCCGTTCAAACACAACACCATAAGCAAAGCAGACAGTGGTACTTTTAATTACCATGTTAATAACTGTGTATAGTTCATTAGACGGTTGGTCAAAAATGCACTCATAATGTTTCAAACCGCAATAAAGATCTTAAAAGAAAGGTGTATTTGAGGGTTTTATTTTTTCACGATACGACTTGGAATTATGGGTAATCCAGAGCGTAGATTAAAACCATAACCACTACGTACAATGTGTGGGGTGTTGTACTTCATATGGGGCCCACCCAGATAACGTTGCTTATGGGCTTATTGTTATGTTGTTACGCCACTGCTTAAACATGTGTATATCCCATTATAATCTCAATTTAGCTTAACAATCAGAACAAGATAATATGAGTAGCTACAGAAAATATGTTTTTTTAAGCTATGGTTTCATTTTTTATGGAAAAATCATGAACCATTTCGGATGAACTAGTTTTTGGAAACATCAAGATCTATTTCATTAGCCATGTTTAGACCTGATTGCTTTCAAGCAGTGATGTCAAAAGTACACACATCTGTTACTTAAGTAGAAGTATAGATACTGCAGTTTAAAAACACACTTGACCTTTTTACTCAAGTAAAAGTGAAAAAGTATGTGCTCCAAAAACTACTTAAAGTATAAAAGTATATTAAAAAAACAGCCAGATCCCTATCATATGAATTGAAAGCTCAATTTTTCGATTATTTAGAGAAATTCTTTGAGGGATCAGAGAGGTCCTGTTGGTCTTCGTTTGCATCTCCCGATTTGCTCTCGCCTGTGTCCAACCTTTCAGACATTTCAACATTTTTTTTTTTATCCAACATTGTAGCATGGTATAGACAAGTTTGAAGAACACCTGCTTGCTTCTGAAGATTTCCTTTAGCTAACCAATTAGTGTTTTCGTTATATGACTCATCCAATTACACTAGTTTTCACTAGATGTGGATGGCACCAATGATCTGCATTGGATGGAGCACATGACGTGTAATAAATATCTATACATTTTAAATATCTAAGAGTAACGAGTAACGTTTGTTTTAAAAATGTAAGGAATAGAAAGTACGGATACTTGTGTGAAAATGTAATGAGTAGAAGTAGGAAGAAAAATAAGTAATGGAGTAAAGCACAGATACCTAAAAAGTGTACTTTAGTACAGTAACGAAATATGTGTACTTTGTTACTTGACAACTCTGCTTTCAAGACATCACTTAAACAGAATCTATTAATACAATGCTGTCCAAAAAAATAAAAGAACATTTAAAAACAGCACCACATCATGCATGACTGGATTCAAATTACTTCAAAAAAGCCTACACAAACGCATTCAGGAGCCCACAGTAGAGCCCAGAACAACATTTCACCCACTGCAGACCTGAATTTCTTCTTTTAGGGGGAGCTTTCATGAAACAGAAACAGAGAGTTAGATGGAGCCACCATCATTAGAAGAAAGGGAACACACACACATATTTAGCAACTAAAAGAAACCTCTATATGGACCTATAAACAAGTGTACAGATTCTAGCACTGTCTGCATCTTGTTACACCTGCTTTAAAGTAACAATGCATTTCCCAAAAACACTATTATGTTACAGTCAAACTACTTTGGTAGTGTTGTGATCCAGAGCCCAGTACTCCTAGACCTAGTCAAAGACCAAGCTAATTTAAATTAATTAGTAAAAAAAAATGCTTTTAATATTTACTCTCTATTTTTATATCAAAACCTGTCTGTTTATCCGTAGCTCCAAACAAATTTAGTTGAGCTGAATGTAAATGCTGGTTGTATGATTCTCCCCTGTATTCTTATTGTATGTGTAGATTGTTACTGTTTTTTAATTTTGTATATTTTAGGCAGGCTTTGACAACTGCCAAAGGGATTGATGAACACTAGCTTAATTTAACTAACTGGGGCATGTTTGTAAAAATTTCCTTTGCCAAATAAATAAAATAATTAAAACTAATGGGATTGCTGACCACTGGTATGGAAGTTTTATTATATAGAGGATAAATATCTTGAGAAATTAATATAACATGTTTATTTACGTCAGCTGTCAAGATAGTTCAAATATTTTTGCAACTATTCCAATTATTACATTAAAACACCATCATAAAAATTATAACATCGTAGCTATGATAAACTTAAAAAATATATTTTTTAGTCAAATTGTTTTTCATTGTATTTAAATTATATATTCTTTTTTAATATGAGCTAATAAAAGTAGATTTCAATAAATAAATACATGTTTTTCAAAACTCGATACAAAAACATATTTTCATATCATCAAAATGTAAATGCCTTGCCCTTTTATTCATGCTACACTCAGTTTCTTTCAACAGCAACAAAATAAATCTGACCTACAAGCTTATAAGCCAGCAGATGTATAAAGATAAGGATAAAGTCCCTCCCGGCTGTTTCGCTGTGCCAGGAAGTGTCTGGTTTACTGTAAGTGCTCTTGAGCAACAACTAGCAGCATCTGGCTTTTTTTCAAGGAAAAGCCCTGCATTTTAATGCCTGCTTTAAACAAGAAAATAAAGATATGAACTATATGCAAAAAAAAGTGACTTCAGGGCCGTTTAATTAAACAATATAATTTCTATTCATTTCAAATAGGGGAAATATTATATCAGTGTGTTACAAAATATACATTGTTTTTCATTTTTTTCATTTGATAGACTACGAGAGAGCAGCACATAACTGTGAAGTGATGATTTCCTTATTTAATTCAGTTTATTTATATAGCGCCAATTCACAACACATGTCATCTCAAGGCACTTTACAGTTATGTTAAAACGGCAAGCCGTTTTAACATAAATTCGGTTGTACTGACTGTACATTCAAGAAATCTCAAATTGTTTTATGAATAGACGTTTTAGCGATTTAAGATATCTCTAATTATATTTTGACTACGGTAGTCAAAATACCTATTCGGGATATCTCTAATTACATTCTGACTAGTCGAAATGACGCCAGATTTACCATTAACTTGTATGGAGACTTCAATTTAAGATATCTAGAATGAATTACTGACTATCTGAAATACACACTTCAGATTTCTACGATTAAATTATGACTAGTCATAAAGTAATTTTAAGATATCTCGATTTTAGTTTTAATCTCAAATGCCACCATAATTCATGATATCTTAAATGTATTTTAGGATAGTGAAAACTATATTATAGATATCTTAAAAGCAAATAATGACTAGACAGAAAAAATTTAAAGATATCTTGAATTGTAATTTTGACTATTCGAATTTCCTTTTAAGATATCTCCAAATGAATTAAAGATATCTTGAATTATTCAGCTTTTCCATTAAAGATATCTTAAATTGACATTCTGACTAGTCAAACGTGTAATGATCTTTTTAATAAGCTTCCAGGAGGATCATTCCTAAAAAAGTTTAAGCCACAGGAGGAAAAGTTAAATCAGCGTGTTACGCTTTAAATGACAAATCCGGTGTCGTAATTTGAGATATCTTGAAAGGAATTTTGACTAGTCAAAATGTAATTTAAGATATCTTGAATTATTATTCTTCCTAATCAGAATGCAAATACAGATGTCTTAAATTGCCATTCCAGATAGTCAAAATGTGGTTTTGTCTAGTCAAAATGTATTTTTAGATTTCTGGAACGTAATTATGGATGGTCAGACAAAACCTAATTTATGTTAAAACGGCTTGCCATATTTTACCAGGTCATACAGTCAAATTGATTCAAAGTTTTCTATCTAAGGAAAACCAGTTGATTGCATCGACTCATTGACTCGAAT